ACCATCAGTAACTTAAAATGCATAGACAACACCATATTGCTAGCAGAAGGCAGGGATAACTTCACATGATTTCTGATTAAAGTGAGAAAAGGAAGTGTAAAAGCAGGGCTGTAGTTGAACATTAAAAGGACAAAGTCATGACTACAGAAAAACCACATAACTTTGATGTTAAAAGTGTTGTATACCTTGTTTCAGTAATCAGTCCAAATGGAGACTGCAGCCAAGAAATCAGAAGAAGACTAAGACTCAGAAGGGCAGCAATGAAGGAATTAAAGAAGACCATCAAGTGTAAGGATGTGTCTCTGAAGACTAAGGCCAAGATCATTCATAATATTCTATACCCAATTATTATGTATGGATATGAAAGCTGGACAGTGAAGAGAGTAGGCAGAGGGAAAAATGATTTATTTGAAATATGGTGGTGATGGAGAGCTTTGCTGGACTGCCAGAAAAATGAACAAGTGAGTCTTAGAATAAATCAAATCAGAACTTTTTCTGGAAGCTAAAAGGACAAAACTGTCATATTTGGGGCAGATCAAGAAATGGCAAGATTCTCTGGAAAAGACAATAATGTTTGGAAAAGATGAAGACAGCACGAAAAGAGGAAGACCAAATATGGATTGACTCCAGAAGGCAAGCATAGCCTTGAGTTTACAAGTGGTAAAGACCAAACACTCTGGAGGTCACTCATTGATAGGGTCACTTTACCTTGAACTTGATGGTATGTAACAACATCTTTTATCATGCTTCCTATAAGGATGATATCATAATTTTCCTCCTACTCTAGATGAGTCTGATGAGAGCTGAAGGCTAAAGACTGATAACCATTGTCCTACACCATATCAGCTCTAAAACAATTTTAGTAAGGCAAAAATTACCATGGCTAAAGGCCAGCAGCGTTGCAGAGAAAGAGGCAAAGATAAACATGAAGCAAACAAATGGCTTTCAGGCATCTCTAAAGTATACTATGTTGTTAATCAATAATTTATACTGGAGTAAGAGTAACACATGAAAACTGAGTCAGGAGACAGCCATGGGTTGTTTGGTTGCTGTAGAGACTGGTGCATAGCAAAAGCAGCTGTGAATGTCCCACTGCTTCAGCAACATGTACTGTAAATGGAACAGTCCCAGAATGGTTGCCCCAATGCAAAACAAGCAGATCACAATGTTTCAGCCTAGCAGAAGGAACTAAGCACAGGGGAAATACCATGAAAAAATCACGACATTTGTAATTGTATGGGACTGGCTATAAAACAAGAGAAAAGAAGCCGAGAATAACACTGGTGGAGGTGGGGTGGCAATACGTCTTCTCTTCAGAAAAGGAGAGCAAGTTGTAAGAAATGCTCTAAACAGAAATACAAGTTGTTCTGCATTTCAAAAAAGTATTTTCTTTAGTTTAGTTCTTTACTCTTTGCCTGAAGATGTGAATTTTTTTATGTCCTGTAAAAACAACATTTTTTCCACAAAATGTGGCAAAACATCACCTATTAATGTTCATTAACACATTAAATATAGTAACTAACACACATATTAAGCAAAACCTCAGACTGCACTTTTTTTGTTTAGTATTGTATAATTTGATTTTTCTTTGCTGCATAGTTTGCAGTTTCTGCCCTGTAGAAGTCCTGTTGTTGTTGTTTAGTTGTTACAGTAAGTTCTGTCCGACTCTTCATGATCCCCTGGACCAGAGCACGCCAGGTCCTCCTGTCTTCCACTGCCTCCCGGAGTTTGATCACATTTGTGTTGGTAGCTTCAATGACACTGCCCAACCATCTTGTCCTCTGTCGTCCCCTTCTCCTCTTGCCTTCACACTTTCCCAACATCAGGGTCTATTCCAGGGAGTCTTCTCTTCTCATGAGATGGCCAAAGTACTGGAGCCTCAGCTTCAGGATCTGTCCTTCTAGTGAGCACTCAGGGTTGATTTCCTTCAAAATGGATAGGTTTGTTTTCTTTACAGTCCAGGGGACTCTCAAGAGTCTCCTCCAGCACCACAATTCAAAAGCATAAATTCTTCAGCGGTCAACTTTCTTTACAGTCCAGCTCTCACTTCTATACATCACTACTGGAAAAAGCAAAGCTTTGACTAGGTGGACCTTTGTCCCTCCTATACTATTAAAATTGTGCAGGCACCAGCAGTTTTTTATATTAGGCATCCTTCAGTCTTGAGAGACTATGGTATCGTGCTCTGCATGGAGGACTTGGAACAGCATCTAGTGTGGCTGAGAAGGCCAATTTGAGAGTGACAATCCCTTCCACACAGAGGACAAATACAATCTGTACCCCATCTAGCTCCCTGATTTTGCTGCTTTCGGGACTGCCTCTTTGCCTCAGCCTGCTGGACAAGGGTCTCTTCAAATTGGGAGAGGCTGTGATGCACCGCCTGCCTCCAGGCTGAACGCTCAAATGTCAGGGTTTCCCATCTGTTGAGATCCATTTCTAAGGCCTTTGGATCCCACGCAGATATCCTTGTATCGCAGCTGTGGTCTCCCTCTAGGGTGATTTCCCTGCACTAATTCTCCATAAGGGAAATATTTTGGAATCTGACCATCAGCCATTCTCACAACATGCCCAAACCAACATAGATGTCACTGTTTCAGTAATGTATCCATGATAAAAATTCCAGCTCATTCTAGGACTACTCTGTTTGGAACTTTGTTCTACAAGGTGATACAACACGTATGGAACGTGTTCAGCTTCCTCTCCTGCCATGCACAAAGGGTCCAGGACTCACTGCAGTACAGGAGTGTGCTGACAACACAGGCTCTATAGATCTGGATCTTGGTGTATGTCGTCAGCTTCTTATTAAGCCATACTCTCTTTGTGAGTCTAGAGAACATGGTAGCTCCTTTGCCAATGCGTTTATCCAGCTCAACATCTAAGGAGAGAGTATCAGGGATTGTTGAGCCAAGGTACACAAAATCATGCACAACCTCCAATTCTTGTGTGGAGATGGTAATAGAGGGAGGTGAGTCCACGCCCTGGCCCATGATTATATGCTATACCATCAGTTTTACTGGGGGACAAATCTGTTCGCTTAGGCTTTCCATGTAACCATAATATGGATATTGTGTTTTTTTATCTTGTGATTTTATTTTCATGTTTGTATTTTTATTGTTGCAGTTTTAAAAATTGTGATTTTAAATATCTGTGATATTTGTATGTCAAGTGATACAGAAATTCATGCAAATAAATAAGATGGTGATGGGCAAAATTGTGTCATTGAAGCTGTTGCTATTACAAAGAGGTGATCATGTGGAAAACAGGGATGCTTTCTCTCTAAATGTAAAGGTAACTTTTCCCCTTGACAAATTGTCCAGTCATGTCCAACTCTAGGGGGTGGTGCTCATCCCTGTTCCAAGCCATAGAGCCAGCATTTGTCTGTAGACAGTTTCGATGGTCACGTGGCCAGCGTAATTAGACATGGAACACCATTACCTTTCCACCGTGGTGGTACCTATTTATCTACTCGAATTTTTACATGCTCTCAAACTGCTACATTGGCAGGAGCTGGGACAAGCGATGGGAGCTCATTCTGTCACGTGGATTCGAACTGCTGATCTTTGACCTTGCAGCTGAGAGGCTTTGCAACTTAACCTGCAGCACCACCATGTCCCATGCTCTCTCTCTCTCTAGCAGACCCTTAAAAGGGGGAGGGAGAAATGCATCCAAGCAAACCTGGCTGCCTCCCCCACCACACACCAGTTCTGTTGCTTCAATGAATATGTCACATCCATCCATTCTTCTTCTCTCTTTTTGATGTAAGTGGGTAGGCCACAGAAGAAGCCTCTCTGACTTGTTCAGCTGAGTTCTTCCTCTTGAGTGGTACCATGGTGCAAATTAAATCTAGTCAAATCAGATCTTTTTGCCAGGGGAAGTGAGAGGCACTAACACAGTGACTGGGCATGGGATGGTCACTTCTGGGTAAGTAATGTTTGCTGTCACTAGTTATCAGAAGGTCTGAATTGCTTGTACATCCGTTGCCTGCTTTAGCTGTCAGGACTAGGGCTAATGACCAGAAGAAAGGAAGAAAAAAAGGTGGGGCCCCTTCTGCACCTTTTATCTTCTATCACAGGACAGTATGAAAGGAAGAAACAGACATTGTTGGGTACATTCACCATTACAATGCCACTGAGAAAGAGCAGGTGAACTAGTGAGAGGAGAGGCACCTATTCTTTCTTTCTACAACCAACCTTGAAGCACTGTCCAGAAAGAATGGGAGAGCAAGAGAGGGGAGCTTCTGAACAGATTTCCCTGGCAACCATCCCACAGCCTCAGTTCAAGACAGAGGAAGTAGGAGCTGTCACCAAGTACCATCTTCTGTTTTCATAGTTCCCTGAGAAATTCCCTTCCAGAGAATTAGGGAAGCAGCCCTACATGGAAAATTCAGGGGAACTTGGAGGGGTGCCTGTATCTCATTGACATAAGACTACCTTTCAGCCCCCTCTCTCTCTCCAGCCTGTTGCAAGCAAGAGGGAGAGCTTGCCGATTATTACTGTTATCACCTTTCCTTCCTAGCTGCAGCTACTGGAGGATTTTCCCCCCTTCAAAAACAAAGGGTGTGAAACACGGGCTTTCCAAAAGCCCGCTTTTCCTGTCATGCAGCTTGACCCCTGCCTCTGACTATGGGAGAGGCTCCCATCTCCCATCCGCCGCGCATTCTTCCCTCAGGGAAAAGGAGCGCCACAACCAGGAGCCCACTCGTTGGGGAGGCGCACCACGCCCTCCCACCGAATTCCCGCTCATGGAAGCGGCGCCTGAAGAGGATGGAGCGGAAAACCCGATTCTCTTCAGAAGTGACCGGGAGAAGCACAGGGGCGCGCGCGCCCACCCACCCGGTCCCGAGTGCGCTCGCTAACCCTTTGGCGGGAAAACGCGGCCAGAGGCGTTGGAGCCCCAACGAAGCACAACAGGGGAAGCGATCCATCCGGCAGGGAGGTGGGACTAAGGGGCTCCTCGCCCTTGCTCCCTTCCCCAGCTGCTCCTCCGGTGACGTTGCGGTCTCCTCCCCTCTGGCGGAGCTCCGGCGCCTGGTAACGCGCTCCTGCGCGGCCCGCAGCTCCTCCATCCGTCCAGCTGCCCACTTCGCCCGAGCATCTCGACCTCCAGCCTCACCCGCCGGACACGGGTGCATGACTCGAAGCGGCGGCCAGGACCTGGACGGCAGCGGGGGGAACGGCGGCTTCCTTCACTCCGGTGGCTCGCCCTCCTGCCGCCATGGAGTGAGCAGCGCTGCGCAACATCAGGCTGGGGGAGAGGTAAGGCTCGGGGAGGAGTGGGGGGACAGAGAGACCTGGGGGAGCGCGATTCTTTTTCCACCCGGGCTCCGCCATCCCGGCGTCCTTTGTTGGGGAACTTTTTCCTCGGTCCTGTGCATCGCTGCTCCGAGTGCGAAGGCAGCGCACTCTGCAGACGCCCAGAGGCCACTCGGTCTTGACAGCCAGCGCTAACTGTGCCTTGTTAGATCGCGCCCCTTGCAGTGCTGGGCGTGGATCGCCCCCGATTTTAGCCTCTGGCCAGCAAAGGGCTCGGAAGTAGCGAACCCCCCCCCCCC